CTGCAGTACACCTACCGTGACCACATAGACGAAAGACCTTTTTTAGCCGGAACTTATTGTTAGAAGTACACAGCAAGTCGAATAGCCACTCCCATCCCCCCAAGAGAATTAACGATTTTTTACTGTATTGTAATAACAAAAAGGACCACTATGCGAAAGGCACGATATCCGTGATCAGCATGACGGAGCCCACTACAAACTAGTTTGATATCCATGACTTGAAATTTTGGATCACGGATGCTGGAGTAACGCCTTCAAAGCTCATGTGTCCATTATCAAGGCATTTTACGTAATTATTGAAAAAGCCAAATAAACCGATCAAAAGAACTGAGTCTCATTTCTAAGAAGCTCCATTTTTGCCGAGTGCATATACAACATTTCACCCAACTTTATTGCAGCAAACAAAGTTCACTCACTGAACGAATGTTGCTTCGCTCAGTGCACAAGGGGTGCCTTGTCAGAGTCGAGCAGTCCAGTAGGTGAGGTCTTCTCGCCAGGCTGGACCTTTGCGATCTCTTCGAGCACAGGTACAGGACCACTAAAATTCATTTAGAGACAGCAGGTAGATAAGTGGTGTAAGGATATGCTTGCCTGGAGTGTGACACAGACGGTTTTTCTTGTGGGTAAATGCGCACAGGCGGTTCATTAGGGGAGTTGTCCTCGCTTATAAAACCAGCAAGTCGTTTTGATCCGATACACGCAGCTATCGTTGGCACAAGTAGCGAAGCAGCAAGGAGGGTAGCACCGGAAGCGAATACACAGAATCCTGAAAAGGTAGAAGTTGTAAAAATTGCTTCAACTCGGAGGGAAGCAGTACCTGCCGTCTTCCAAATTCTCATTGGGTCACGTAGCATCTCTTGCAGTTTATCCTGTGGGACATAGTAGCCGCCATCCTCGTCCTAAACGAAATAAGTTCGGATTTACTCTCCATAAAGTAAAACATCTTTTACTGCAATAAAATAGGATCGTGCTTACTATAGAAAAGTTTTCAGTGGAAGCGCCTTTCCTGACACCTAGATGCGTCTAAGAACAGGTTCCAAATCTGTTTCTTCTTTGCCAAAGCGCTCGGAGAGTTAGTGAAGTCAAAACCAAAAAGTTACCTTATGAGTTACACAAGATTCGCGAAAGCTGTACAAAAACTGCTGCAAGCATGTAATCAAATGTATCAAGTATATTGCCTACACGGAAGAAACACAGCCTTATCAAATTCGCAAAGGTGTTTTTGTACAGCTTTTGGAGGATCTTATGCCACTTAAGACTTGTCAAATTAGACTTTCAAACACTCATATTTTCTTTCCATGCGTAGTTTCGCAGAAAGTAACAGATTTCGGGAATCATCAGGCAATGCTTTAAAAAGTAATATAAGTAATATGTGGAAAAGTCAGAACATTTTGAGACACACGCTAATCCTCTGTTAGTAATCCTTTTTCTTCAATTTTCTATTCTCATCTGATAGTTGTCATTTTACGTACAAAGCAAAATTTTTCGAACTAAATGTGCTCTGCTGATAAGCAGAAGAATGAGGTCTGCTCATCGTTTTATAAAGAGCTTTTGCTATTTTGTGCGAAAAACGCCGGCTACCAAAAATCAGTCTGGAAGAATTTAGAAAAGTAAATCTTTTCCATCTCCTGCAGTAACCATCGATATCACATCCAGATAAAACTTCATATCCCATCAGCAGTCCTCTAATTTGGTCTAGAGTTGAACTGCGGACGAACCCTCCACTCAGTTTGTACGAATATACTACCACCCTATGCTTAGGCATTCCGTATGTAGTCAATGAGAGGAAATTCTAATTGTTATTCGTTCGTGAGTACTACAAATCAACTGGACGGCGTGGAAAACAAGCAGTCCTCGTGGGAGGTATGGATTAAGCCATAAGGGTGGAGTACGTTTTTGCAGTCGTTATAGCTTGAGTTCTATGAAAGGGAGGTGAGCTCGAAAAAAGTCCCTGGATTTTGGTTCGTGCATGCATTTCGGCTCTCTGAATCGATGTTTGCTCGGACGGAGCACATCGAGCGTAGAAATCTAATAGCGGGACTGAGATGGAGATTGCAAACGTACAAACAAGAGATTACTCGTGAATAGATGCATCTTGAATTCCACTCGGTAAGATAAGATCTTTTCTGACAACAAGAAAGCCCCTGGGAATAACGAGCTATTGCTAAAAATGCACTTACAACCACGCTCTAGTACCAATTTTTCATCTTATATGTGTCTTGGTCCAATTTATACGCATGTACATTACATACATATTTATATTTACTGCATGGCCTAAATTGCTCTCCTGAAACTCGAAATGAAACTTCACCGATCGAGTTTCTGGTCGAGTCACTCTACGAAGACAGTTTCAATAACTTGATTTTAG